GTATTTGTTTTGATGCAGAAAAGATGCAAGTTTGTGGCAGGGTTGTTTTGAAGTATAGCAGGGTTTGTAGCAGGTATGTGGTATACAGTTTCATTGTTGTGTGTGGTTGTTTTCAGGTCACAGTGCAGCATATGGTTTTGGGGTGTTTTGTCGGCATCAGATTTGGTACAGGAAGTGTCTTCTTTTTAAAGATTAAATTGGGTAATTCTCCTTTTTGTATCTTGTCCTCTGCCCCTCTCGAATCTTTCTCCATTTTCCTGTTAAAACATTCAAAATCCGTTCTCTTTCAACAGTTCTACCATTTTGTTTCGAAATCCCTTTTGTGACAGGCTGTAGTTTTCTCTTTTTATGCACAGGTCTATTGGACTTGTGGTTTTCATGTACAGATACTGCAGGTTGTTGTCTGATGTGGAGTGAATTTGTGTAGTGTTGTTGCTGTATTTAAAAAATGCAGGTTTTTGTCTGTTTGTGAATTCTGCTGTGACTTTTGCTTTCCGCAGATGAAGGTGTCGCAGGTACTTAAAGCAAGGCAAAAATATCATCATTGTTGTGACTTGTGCGTATCATTGCGGGGAAGCGCTTGTATTTGGAGGAGGGGGCCTATTGTATCATGGCCTATTGTGAGGTTATGGTCACATTTCTTTTATGAAAGCCACCGATTCATGTAAACATATAATATGACCAGCCTATACACTACATGATAGAAGCCGTTCGTGTCAAATCCTTGATGTAGCAACTTGACTTATTTTTTTTAATGTACTCTTGTAAAGATGGGCTTCAAATTGACATGGGCCCTCCCCCTTTTTTAGAAAAAAAAAACATAATGGCAATGGGCTTGACAAAATGTATTCTCTTTTGTATATTTTTTATTGTTATGAATATGAGAAAAGTGAATTTGGAAGAATTGGATTGAAAATGGATATCAGATAATTGGATAATTGAAAATAAACATGGATATGGGTTAAATAAAAATATGGATAATGAATTATTTAAATGGATAATGGAAATGGTATTTGGATAAAAAATGGATTATAAATGGATATTGAAACAAAAATTGGATATCAAAAATAAATATGGATAATGGATTGAAAAAAGACATAAAATGTGGAATACAAGAAAATGGTAAAATAACAAAGTGGATGAGAATGGTTACGGGAATGGACATGGAATTTGAAGCGAAGTGGATGAATATGAATATTGGATATTTGGAGACAAAGGATGGACGATAAATAATGGTGAACGGACAACATATTTGGACCACAAAATGAATTCTCAAACCAGAACCACACTTGCACACCTTAAATTCAATAATGCACTTTAATCGGCTTCCCACATGCGCCAGGGGCCAAATTCTTTGAAATGCGGCCTGAGAAAATTAATCATGAAGCATGGAGCACTGATAATTTGGTATAGCCTAACACCTTAGTCCATACACCAACCACTTGAATTATCACAAACTCTAATTGAAACCTCAAGAATAACCGCTTGAATCAATCGCACCTACACAGTCCCTGGTTATGAAAAGAACTCTTGCCTGACCAAGATTAGGCCAGAATCATTTGAACCATAAACAACATCACGTGCATACACACATGTCCTAGCAAACCTGAAAAGAACTTAGTTCATCTCTGCAAAGCTGAGCTCAAAAAGAAAGCAACGACGACACCCCCTTCTTGGAGTTCTAAATGATGGTTAATTGACAGAAATACAGATGAAAATAATATACAGGTAGGACAAAATTTAGGGTATGACACCAGTGAACGTAGCAGAGTTTCGCGAATGCTGATTTTTGTACAGCGATGCCTTGATGTTTGATGCTGTGATTTCTCTGATGAATTAATATGAGTATGATTGTGAGTTCTATGTGATTTGTACATGGTTACATGACGATTTCTATGATGTAATATGATGATATTACCATGATTTTGATGAATTCTATGATGACATGAGATATGATGATGATTGTGATGATGATGATTATGATGAATGATGATGCACCTAATGAGTTTATTGTGAGGATGATTATTGATGTGTGCATCATACATTCATGTGCATCCGGACTTCGGTTCAGGACCTCGATTACTTTGGCTTCAATCCCATTGTGTGGATGTGAAGTATTTTGATGTGCTCCGGTTCTCAAGTAGAATCGATCCTATTGATGGAGATCTATGGAGGGTTGATGGCCCAGTGTTCATCGAGTTGTGATGATTGGTACCACATGCATTGAGTCTTGTTGCATTTGCATTTATGAGATGATTGTGAGTAAATTGCGATGTTGTGGCCTTTGATGCATATTGACGAATACAATGATGTTGAATATGAAAATAACGCCATTTTATATGTTGATTTTCTACATTTATTATTATGAATCGTTTTACTCACCCTGCCTGTTTGAATGTTGTCTCCTCGTGGGTAACATGCAGATGACCAAGTTTAGCCGTGGACGTCGTTGAGGACTTTTGAAGTTTTTGAGTTGAAATTTTTTTATTAAATTTGAGGGTCTTGCTCTGATAGTGTAACATCGGGTTGGAGTCTTTGAGTTAAACTATATTTTATTTGAGTTATTTTGATTATCTTTCTGTATAAGGAAAACCTTGGATTATGCCTTTAAGTTTCGCTGCCTTTGTGAAATTTTTTATGTTTATTTGGGAAAACCCGTTGTTTACGGAGCCTTGACCTATTTTGATTTATTGGGAAATGTACACCCTTTTGTGGTGGCTTTTATTGAATTTAATAATTTACTCTGATATATGTGAATAAATGTGCCTTTTAAATGTGGGGTAGAAAAGGGTGTTACGATGTTAGTATTATCTAATTTGCTGATGGTACTATACTGTTTGGTGAGGCAGACAGGGAGAACCTTTGGGGTATCAAAGCAATTATGAGGGCTTTCGAACTGGTATCAGGTTTATGCATTAATTTCTTGAAAAGTTATATCTTTGGTGTAGGGGTAGATGATAATTTCTTGATTGCAGCATCTCAGTTCCTAGCTTGTAAGTGTGGTCGTATTCCGTTTATCTTCCTGGGCTTGCAGGTGGGAGGGAATCACAGAAGACATGGCTTTTATAAATCGGTTATGGAGTGTTTTAATTCTAGGTTATCTGCGTGGCAAGGAAAACTTCTATTAATGAGAGGACGTGTTACGCTTATTAGTTACGTTCTATCAAGTCTTCTAATTCATCATTTATCATTCTTTAAAGCTCCAGTGTCAGTTTTAAGGGAATTGAAATCGACTCAGCGTCGTTTCTTATGGGCTGGTTGTTTAGACAAACCCGCATTGAATTTGGTGAGTTGTAGTAAAATATGCAAATCCAAGAAAATGAGAGGTTTAGGGATTAAGGGCTTAGCTCTGTTTAGTGGTGCTCTTCTTAGAAAATGGATCTGGAGAATCATTCACAATGATGAAGCTATCTGGAAATCGATTATAGAGCATAAGTACGGTTGTTGTGAATCGATTTTTCTGCTTTTGCAAATGAAAAACCAAGTCAAATGGCATCGTTGTGGTGGAGAGATCTGGTTAAGATAGGGCACTCAACCAAGGTTGACTCTTTTTTGAACCAAATCAATTGCGAATTAGGAGAAGGAACACATATCTCGTTCTGGCATGCTAGGTGGATTGATTCTGTACCACTGTGCATCACGTTTCCGGAGTTGTATCAGGTATCAAATTGTAAGATGGGAGCAGTAACAAATCATGGTCATTGGTGTGAGGTAGTCTGGGTTTGGAATATTGGTGTGAACATTCAGAATTATGGGGATGTTATTCAGCAGCAATATTGTGAGCTGCAACAGCTGTTACATGAGCATTTTCCTACTGCAGGTCAGTAGGATGCGTTTTCATGGCCAAGAACGTGCAATAAATTGTTTTCTGTCAGGTTGTGTTATTTACAAGGTTTAAATCTTAATAGTGTTGATGAGAAGGACATTATATCCAAGGCGTCCCTAGATATTTTGTGGCGATCTTCGATTTTGTAGAAGGTAAAGCTTTTTGCTTGACGTTTGATATTGAATAGATTGCCGACAAGATCCAATCTTGCTGTCAGAGAGGTAATATCCAATCCCCATGACATTGTTTGTGTCTTATGTTTTATGGAGGTTGAATCGTTAGATCACGTCCTATTCAATTGTCCAAAGATTTGTATGGTGTGGAATTGCATATTCGATTGGGTTAGGGTGGAGAGAATAAGGTGAAACAATTGTAAGGAGCATCTATTGGACTAGTTTGTTATTTTGATTGGAAGGACTTCGAAAAACACAGTGAATCTAGTTTGGTTTTATACGTGTTAGAATATATGGTGGGTTAGAAACCAAATCATCTTCAATAATGGTTTCTTAAACGTATGTGATATGGTTGATAGAATTAAGTTTTATTTTTTATTGTGGGTTTCATTTAGCCTCTCAAAACCTTATAGGTGTTCTTATTATGATTGGTTGAAGCATTCAACCGATTTTTTTGTAAGAATTGTGTGGAAATAGATTGGTAGAAGTGTTTATTGTTTGGCCAAATGAGTAGGTGTTTAGGATGGTGTATTTAGATTGTTATGTACTATCTTTCTGTTTATAATGACCTTTTTTTGTGTATAATGAAAATTTCTGATTATAAATTTTTTTTTTAATAAAAATAGAAATTGAAATTCACAAAGTAATTATGAAAATTATGTTAATATATGTGATAATACTTTTGACATTTTATAGATGTCCTGAGTTTTTTTAAGAATTTTTTAAAAATCGAATAATTAGATTTAAATCTATTTTAATATTATTCATGAAAAAATTTGAGAGACTACCTTAAATCTACCTCTTGAATATTTTTGCTTGGGAAAATCATAGCAAAGCTGATATTATTTAGCAAGAATATTGATCTCATATTGTCTTGGATCAAACACACAACTAAATAATGCATGACACAATAACACTCAAACTTAGTCACACCAACATTTTAGACAGAGAGCACAGTAAGTGTGAAAACACACAAACATGTATATGCACCAGTATAGTATTTATTTGACATTTGATTGGCTAGTGGAAGAGTCTCTTGAAGTCCAGTATTTCTTTATATCTTCAGCTGTTCGTCCAGGAATTCTTCCAGCAATTAATTGCCACCTGAAAAGAACATATTATATTAAAAAAGTTGATTTAAAAAATGATAGATACTGAACCAAGTGTTATTTAATTATTCAAAGGAAAATATAACATATTAATCATACTAACTAAATTACCTATCCCCTAGTAGTTTATACATCCTGATAATAAGAGCTTCCTCATCTTTAGAAATTTCAACCTTGGGATTTACTTGAGTAATACTACTGGAATTGGATTGATCTGCTAGTACATTTAAAATATTTATTTTTCAAAACAAATATCTAAAACATATCCTAGGGTGAATTCCGATCTAAAAAGGTACGTACCTTTGGAAGAATCGGCAGAAACTTCCTGAAGTGTCTGTTCCACGTTGGCCATATATAACAAGTGTGTGTGAGGCTGTGATGAATAAAATATGTTTGCAGATGAGGAGGCTAATGCTAACAGATAGGTGGCATTAATATAGGGCAAGTAATATGAAGGAAAAATGGTACGAAAGAGTACTGGTACGTGAAGAATGGGTGGTGTGGAGGGTGGGAGCAGAGTAAAGTAAAGAAAAGACTGAAGGTTGGGGTTGACTGTTTAACTCTACTTCTATAGGTAGTTGCACATGATTGTTGGATGAGTAATATCATTTTTTTATAAGTCGGTAGAAAGTTGCTTGCTTAGTTGGTGTTTTGCCATTAAAATGTATTGAAGAGTAGGGTTTTTTTTTTTTGTTTTTTTTATGCTAATATATATTGGATTGATATATTTGTAAGGGTCCATGAAGGTGATAAGTGAGGTAGATGACACTTTATAAAGCTCTTCTAGTCGTCTGTATATTGGACCGATCGCCCATTTATTAGATGTGTCGTTCATATATTGGATATGTCGCTTTTTTTCTAGAGGAGTCATCCAAGGGTAGGAAAATGGAGGAATGATGTGGCCTTATTCCCGCATCCATTTGGTGATGATTGCTATTTTTAAGGGGTCTATGATCCAGGTCAGCACAAATATAAATACCTCAACATTAAAGTTGAGAAGGACAATCTCATTCTCACGTAGAAAAATAGATGCACATAGTTTCTCAACCCCTATGTGAGTCAACTCTTTATCCCACAACATACCTTAAAACCTCTGACGAGCCTTAATCACTAAGGGTTGTCAAGTATTGTACTTTTTAGGCAAGTAAAATTGACACCCGCGCGAGGCCCGGTAAAACTGACCTCGGCCACCAGAGAAATACTTATTTGGATTATCGTCCCCACATTTAACCCCTCTGATTATCATGGTGAACAAAAAGACAATAACTTTGGCCACCGAAGAATCTAAAGGCGAAGAAAGCAACATAACAAAGATGCATGCTGCTATGGACGATCTACATCACTATAATCAAGCCCTGGATGATGATGTCCTATATATCCAACAATGTCAGTAAGGCATAATCCTTAATGTTGAGGAAGAGATGTTACGCACACAAACTCTTTCGAACGAGATAAGAGAGGCGCTTGTTCCAAAGAACTTTAAGCCTCTTTCACTGGCCAAGTTTAATGGGCACAACGACTAGTATGAACATATCGCCTCCGTCAACACGTAGATGTCTATCATTGGAGCTGACTCCTTAAAATGCAAGCTCCTATCAGGCCCCTTCAAAGGCACAACCCTAAGATGGTATATGTGCCTACTTCGGCTCTCTATCACCAACCATTAGGACTTAGTGAAGAAGTTAATCCATCAATTTGCAGCGAGCAGGCACAAAACGATGTTTGCCGCCAGTCTCTTCAATATTTGCCAAGGCCTCTTTAAATCCCTTAGGGAGTACCTCACTCACTTCAATGAGGCGGCAACCAAGGTGATTCATCCAAGCTAGGAAATATTCGTGGGAATATTCTAAAATGGGATCAATGAGGGACATTTCAATGAATCCCTTGCCTAGAGGCCAAAAACATCCTTGGTCGAAGTTGTGACACAAGCAGAATGTTACATCAAGGCCGAGGAAAGCAACACTTAAAATAAGGCTTGAGATGCAAAATAACACCACTTTCCATGTTGACATCTTGCAAAGGGGTCAATGCATATCACATGTCAAAGACAAGACATCATTTAAGCAAAACGGAAAGCTCACTAAGAGCTTCATGCCTATGAATACTCTCCAAGAGCAGATATGGAAAGAATTCCTCTACATGCATAACACCCCTCAACTGCTAGCTCCAAAGGTAGATGTTATGGGCCCTAAACCTAGTAGCTGGTTCAAAAAGCGTCTGATTCAAGAAGGGAACTTAAAGAAGTATGTAAGGGGAGATTCCCTTTTAGGGTCATAAGAATCTAACTCTAAGGGACAATATCCCACCGGACTCTCGGATCTAAGAAGAGGAAGGAATCAAGCGAGGGCGATGACAAGGCTATCTAGCATACTCTTAACTTCATCGCAAAATTATTTACTAGGGCTGAGAGACTAGTTCCACCCACGTAAGGTACGCTCCCATATCCTAACCATAGAGGGCTCGCCCAATATTACGGTGAGAATCGTTACCAAAGCTATAGGATCAGCTTGGCTCACAATAATAAGATATCACCACCGAACTTTTATTTTATCCAAGGGAAAGGGAGAAAAGATCGAACAAAAACTCTAAGTAAAATGCAAAGCAAAAGCAAGGCCCTAAGCTAAGCAAAAGAGAGATCAAAGGTACGGGAGTTGGTTATACTAAGGGAAGGTACTAACACCCTAAGTATGTGCAGTACTATATAGGAACCTCTTAAAATATTTGTGTTGGCTAAGATTGTTTGCTAAAGGTAAAGGTGGACAGAGAAAAGAGAAAATTTGGAAAAATAAAAATGTAGCTCGCTAGGATCTCGCAATCCTATGTTTGTTTTTCTTTGATAGGAAATCAGAGCAATCGTAGTTCAGAACTACGATGTAAAAGAAGGAAATGTTGAAAAAGAAAAAACTGTGAAAAAAGATAAGTGTGGTCCAGTGTCCAGAGAGAGAGAGAGAGAGAGAGAGAGAGAGAGAGAGAGAGAGAGAGAAAGAGAGAGAGAGAGAGAGAGAGAGAGAGAGAGAGAGAGAGAGAGAGAGAGAGAGAGAGAGAGAGAGAGAGAGAGAGAGAGAGAGAGAGAGAGAGAGAGAGAGAGAGAGAGATTGTTTTTAAAAAAATGAAGAATAATGGTATGTGCCTTGTTTTATTATATTGTTTTTCTTTTCAAATTTCAAAACAAGAGAGAGAAATATATCTATGAGGATAATGAGTTGATGGAGTTTTTTGTGTGTATCTTAAGAATGAGTCACGCATGCATGCTACGATGACAGTATGATGCTAATAAGTTTACACCAAAATATAGTAAAAACAAATGATATATTTAAAACTTAATATCTAAGTCTTGCTAGAAATATAAAGATAAAATATTATTTTTTTAAAAAGTAAAGAATAAACAAATTAAAAATAACAATAAACTATTAAATAAAACTAAAATATAAAATCTGATTAAATAAAATATTATTTAACTAAAATAATAATAAAATCGATTAAAAAAATGAATAATTGGACCGGTATCGAAGTGCTTGAAAAAATAAAATGAATACACTGAAATGATTAGCGTGAAATATATGTATTAAAAAAATACAGCGTTTAGTCAAATTTTGAAATAAGTTTTACCCGGTTAAATGGCTTAAATTGTCCAAAATGCGATCAAAAAGCAGTCAAAAAATTCAAATGAGGACGCCAGGTTAAACTACGTGAAATATAGATTAATATGACTGACGTTTGCAGGCTCGATTTTGAAATTTTCTTTCTACCAATTTTACGAACAGTTGACTTTTGGTTTGACCGGTTCGGCTGTAAATCCAACAAGTTTATTCTGGCTAATAAATTGGGTATCATGCAAGATGCGAAACATGATAAAGTATGCAGATGATGCAAAAAGACATGGAATCTTAAAGTTAAAATTTAGGATATGACAGATGCCCCCTATTTAAGTTTCTTCGATCTGAAAATGTGAAGATTAAAATCTTCGTCTCGACAAGATCGGAGAGACTTAAATTTCAAACATGCGCAATTTTTGGCCCTAAGATGCCACAAAAATGCTTATGATATGATATAAACACAAAACAAACATCCTGTGAAGAAAAATTTCATAGGGGGTGAATACATACTAGGAAGATGTTGCAACTCCACTAGGGAAAGACTGACAACTTCACAGGAAAAAGTCTCAAGGATACACAACTGAAGAATACAAGATATTATGGACATCTACCAAGGTGACAAAGAGTATCTAGTAATACTTAAAAAAGGAGGACAAACCCTAAACAGAAATACAGACATCCGGAAAAGCATCAGATGCTGAAAGTAATGTAAATAAAAAAAAATAGAACAGAAACATCTAGAAAAGCATTAGATGTGGCATGAGACCAGAAATTTGAGAATATAACAGAGACTTCCAAGAAAGCATTTAACTTTACTGTGGAATATTCAGGAACATCCAGAAAGCAAAAACAACTTTACTGGGGAAAAGATCACAGTCATTAGAAATTTTGTCAGAAATGCATGGAACAAAACTCTGGAAAGGAACTGTAACTACCATTAGAGTCATTCAGAAGAACGTTGAATGAAACTCTGGAACATCAGTAGGCATCCATCAGAGATATTCAAAATAACATTGAATAAGCTCCAATGGGGAATCAATAGTCATCATCCATGAACGGAACTGGACGGAAAAGAGTCATAGTATTCAGAAGATCATTGAATAAGGTGAGGAGAAATCAGAGAAATACATTACGGGTATTCAAGCAAACATCATATATATTCATAAAAGCATTGAATATACTCTGGAAAACATAGCAAACATCAGAGACATCCAAAAAAGTATTGAATGAACTCTGAAACACACAACAAACATCATAGACATCCAGAAAAGCATTGAATGAACTCTAGAACACACAGCAAACATCAGAGACATCCAAAAAAGCATTGAATGGACTCTGGAAAGCATCAGAGATATTCAGGAAATCATTGAATAAACTCTAGAACACATCAGAGATATTCAGGAAAACATCGAATAAACTCCGAAACACATCCAGAAAAACATTAGATTAAGAATGGAAATAGATTTGAAAATATTCAGTAGTTGTCAACCAAAGTCAAAAATAAATTGAAGACATCTAGCAGTGCATTAAATGAAGACAACGATTCTGAAGATACATCCAAAACATTTATATAAGCATTAAATGTATGGGAAAAGATTTTGAATACATATCTGGAAGAACATCAGATAAACAAGATCATATCTGAAAGAACATCAGATAGACACAAAGGAGTCTCTAGAAAAACATCAGAAGCAAAGTCATATCTAGAAGAACACCAGATAGACATAAATGAGTTCTGGAAAAACATCAGAACAAC